TCACGGTAAGCCCGATGATACTAATCAATATCTGAGTGAGTAAGTGTCATGACCTTATGAGCCCAATGGGGTCCTTCCTGACATCTTAGAAAGCATCAGATTGAGGCATATGAGAAATAAAACCATCGGTACAACAGAGACGTGCAACAAATAATCATCCCCCCATGATAAGAACTCTGAAGATGAATAGAGTAATAAGCATCACCCAACAATGTAGGAACCCGGGTTTCCAATCATGAAGATCCTGATAGCATTAATGTCAACAAACTTGTCCACATTAGGAAATAAAAACAACCCATAAGCAAGTAGAGCAAATATGGCCTCAAAAGCGACTGTACTCTTCATCTTGGAAAAGTAACGAGCTTTCTCCAATAAGAACTGAACTGGTAATCCTCTAATCCCTCCTTTAGTAGTCATATGGGCTTCAACCTCAGACTTCCCCAGATGGATCAAAGCAGCAATCTCGTGTGGTTTTGGTTCACCCTCCAAGCCAGTAAAAGGAACACAGTCGTTAACAGGTAAATCTAACAGATAAGAATACTCCTATAGTGTAGGCATCAACTGATAGTCATGGAAAGTAAATTAATGATACATCGGATCATAGAACTGGACCAAGGTCGAGAGAATACCCTCCTTCATCCTAAGCTTCATGAGAGGAATGATGGATCTATACTTCTTCCGAAAATATGCAGAACACTCAATCTTGGGAATTAGACTGATCAACTCATCTATCTTGGGATCTTTGAAACTGTATTTTCCGGTCTTTCTTGGGATCTATTTTACCAGAATCTGTAAATTTTTTAAAGAGGAACTACGTGTACCATCTTCCGTGCAATAGGGGATCAGGGTACACGTAGTTCCTCTTTTAAAAAAATTTAAAACACAAGTGTGTTGGTTAATTTTGTGAGATAAGACATTGTCGTCATTGTACATATGGAAAACATACTTACTACCCCACAATTATGAGAAACGATAATTTGCATCATCTCAAAGTGGAGGATATGGCTTGGATTTTAAAATCAACAATGCCTCACTCAACGCCCAAGTGGAAAATATCTCTCTTCACTACATATTATAGAAGTATAGTTGTTTGCATCACTACAAAGATTGACAAGAGTCCAATCTTTTGAGAAAAGCTTTAAAATAAAATAAAAAAAGCCAAATTGGAAAAATGGTTTGAAATGAGATTGATTGACTTTTAGTCCTCTCACAAAAAAATGTCAAGGTATTATTAGGTTGATTGAAGTTTATTTATGAAAATGTTTTTGAAAAATGCATGGACCTAAGTCCAAGTTTATTATGAAAGTAGTTCAAGTTTAAAAACAATGAGAGGTTTCAAAAGGAGGAAGAAGATTTTTGAAATTAAATAAGATGGGAGGAGAAGAAGAGACTACCCTAAAGCATAAGGTAAAAGCTAGGGATAAGAACTATCTAACCAACAAGAAGCCAATACTTGACATTATGAGTCAAGATAGAATTCTCATTCTTTGGGTTAAAACCAAACAAGCAAAGATACTAGACATATTGAGAGAACCAAACTTCAAGTGTATTAAGTCTTCATAAAAATTGGGCAGAGTAACGGTTGTATACGGGTGAATTCCAGATTATAAACAAAATATGTAATCACAATAACCTGCACACAAAACAAACAAACCACCCAATGTCTTGAGGTGAACCTCAAGAACTCCAGACAAAATATCAATTAAAGTCACAAGGTCTCCATCATAGGCCAAAGTTTCTAATCCTAATTCCAAGAAGTCTAATACTCCATAATGCCAAGGATAGTCATCAAATAGTTCAAGTATCATTAAAGGTTTTTATGGTTCATGTTGATTAT